GGCGCGCAACCGCAACCGGAATTGTGCGACACATTTCAACCCGCCCGCGGGCGCGCATCCGCAACCGCACCTGGGCGACACATTTCAACCCGCCCGCGGGAGCGCAACCGCAACTGGGCTAGACATTTCGACCCGCCCGCGGGCGCGCAACCGCAACCGCAACAGGGCGACACATTTCGACCCGTCCGCGGGCGCGCAACCGCAACCGCAACTGGGCCACGCATTTCAACCCGCCCGCGGGCGCGCAACCGCAACCGCATGTGGGCGACACATTTCAACCCGTTCGCGGGCGCGCAACCGCAACCGCAACTACGCGACACATTTCGACCCGCCCGCGGGCGCGCAACCGCAACCGCAATTGGGTTCCACATTTCGACCCGCCCGCGGGCGCGCAACCGCAACCGCAACTGGGCGACACATGTCGACCCGCACGCGGGCGGGCAACCGCAATTGGGCGACACATTTCAACCCGCCCGCGGGCGCGCAACCACAACCCCAATTGGGCGACACAGTTCATACCGCCCGCGGGCTCGCAACCGCAACCGCACCGGTCACCTGCCGCCATCCTCCAGGGGATCCGAGGCGGAGGAAGGGCGGGAGGGAAGGGAGGAGGAAGTAGGGGGGAGGGAGGGGAGATTGAGGGAGGGTAGAGAGGTCACAATGATTGGGGGCGGACGACTTCTGCCTCGGTGGTCGGTTGCGCGTTCGCCCGCGCGCAAGCTGCCCGCGGAAGTAGGTGCATCGGCGCCGTCCTATTCACGCAGTCTGCCGCGTCTTATTCATGATATGGTGCAGGAGCAGGTGGAAGAGGAGGGGGAGGAGGACGAGGAGGAGGTAAGGGAGGAGGAGGAGGAGCACCAGGACGAGGAGGAGGACGACGACGACGACGAACAGGAGGAGGAGGAGGAGGAGGAGGAGGAGGAAAAGGAAGACCAGGATGGCCAGGAGGAGGAGGAGGAGGACGATAGGGGGGGGGATGCCAGGGTGGTGCTGCTTGAGAAGGTGCACGAGCAGGTGCGTGTTGCGGATGACAGAGGAGGATAAGGTGGTGGACGTCAAGGAGGATATGGGCGTGGAGGTGGATGTCCTCCTCGCGGCCTCTGGGCGTGACCCGCGGTTCTCCGCTGGGACATTGCAGCGGGGAGTCCCCATTCCACGCTGCTGCCTCTGATTTGTTCGCGCTGATGGGAAACAAAAGCATCAGGTTGGGATTCGCCCCGTTTGGTTGGGATTAGTCCGACATGCGGGGGTGGCCCCACCAGGTCCCGCATGTTGGACCAATCCTAACCGACTGACACCGAGTACAATCAACCAATTGGCACCAGTTGGCCAAACGACCAACTGGTACCAATTACAACCAGCCATCTTGAGCCGACAGTAGAACTCGATGTGTACAGAATTTTAAGATGATTCAGACACCAAATGAACGTCTTAAGGGTGCACGTTCAGTCTGGGAGTCAGCTTGAGTGCCCCGGTTGGAACTCATATTCGTTTATTTCTGACATCTGGAAGCTGCGTTGTCTTGCAGCAGCGTCTCCAAACAACAAGTAACACTTCCAACCAGCGTATATCCAACGCACATCCAAAACCCGACTTCTTATTATCCTTGTCATCGTCCGTTTCTTCCTTCCTCTTTTCCTGCCTCCTCCCTCCTCTTCTTCCTCCTCATCTTCCTCGTACCGCTTTCCTTCTCGTCCTCCTCTGCTTCCCCCTCCTCCATTCTCGATTTTTCCTCTTCCTCTTCCTACCCCCAAGCCGGCCCCAGGAGGTCGAGCATGGCTCAGGATAGCTTCTGACAGCCTCCCAGAAGATCAGGGTCCAAACTCGCCTCCAATATGCCTCGAGAAAGCCTCCGTTTGTGTTTGCAGGGGCTCGTGGGATACGCGAAGCGTCAAACGTTTGTGTGTGTGTGTGTGGGTGTGTGTGTGTGGGTGTGTGGGTGGGTGTGTGGGTGTGTGGGTGTGTGGGTGTGTGGGTGTGTGGGTGTGTGTGTGTGGGTGTGTGGGTGTGTGGGTGTGTGGGTGTGTGGGTGTGTGGGTGTGTGGGTGTGTGGGTGTGTGGGTGTGTGGGTGTGTGGGTGGGTGGGCGGGAGGGTGGGGGTGGAGGGGGGGGGTTGGGGTGGGGGGGGGTGGGTGGGGGGGGGTGGGTGGGTGGGTGGGGGGGGGGTGGGGGGGTGGGGGGGTGGGGGGTGGGGGGGTGGGGGGGGGTGGGGGGGGGGGGGGGGTGGGGGGGTGGGGGGGGGGGGGGGGGGGGGGTGGGGGGGTGGGGGGATGTGGGTTGTGGGGGTGTGGGGGTGGGGGTGTGGGGTGTGGGGGTGCGGGGGTGGTGCGGGGGTGTGGGGGTGTGGGGGTGTGGGTGTGGGGGTGTGTGGGGGTGTGGGGTGGGGGTGTGGGGGTCGTGGGGGCGTGGGGTGTGGGGGTGTGGGGTGTTGGGGGTGTGGGGGTGTGGGGGTGGGGGTGTGGGGTGTGTGGGGGTGTGGGGGTGTGGGGGTGGGGGTGTGGGGGTGTGGGGTGTGTGTGGGTGTGGGGTGTGTGGGTGTGTGGGGGTGTGGGTGTGGTGTGTGGGTGTGGTGTGGTGTGTGGTGTGTGGTGTGTGTGTGTGTGTGTGTGTGTGTGTGTGTGTGTGTGTGTGGGTGTGTGTGTGTGTGTGTGGGTGTGGTGTGGTGTGTGTGTGTGGTGTGTGGTGTGGGTGTGTGGTGTGGTGTGTGTGTGTGTGTGTGTGTGTGTGGGTGTGTGTGGGTGTGGGTGTGGGTGTGGGTGTGGGTGTGGGTGTGTGGGTGTGGGTGTGGGTGTGGGTGTGGGTGTGGGTGTGGGTGTGGGTGTGGGTGTGGGTGTGGGTGTGGGTGTGGGTGTGGGTGTGGGTGTGGGTGTGGGTGTGGGTGTGTGTGTGTGTGTGTGTGTGTGGGTGTGGGTGTGTGTGTGTGTGGTGTGGGTGTGGGTGTGGGTGTGGGTGTGGGTGTGGGTGTGGGTGTGGGTGTGGGTGTGGGTGTGGGTGTGGGTGTGGGTGTGGGTGTGGGTGTGTGTGTGTGTGTGTTTGAACATGAGTTCGACAGATGCATGGGTACATAAGGTGGCAGCGGCGGTGGAGGGCAAGGTGACTCGTTCGGCCACCCTCTACTCCCCCATGAGTTCGGAGGCTCCCCTAACCCCTGAGGGCACGAAACGCTTCCATTGGAAACGTCGCCCTGGGGGGTTCTGGAGATCCCGCGCCCGCAGGAAAAAAAACAGGGGCCGAACGGTTCGGCGGCGGCGGCGGCGGAGGGCAAAGTGACTCGTTCGGCCACGCCCTCCATCCCCACGGGTTCGGGGGCCCCCCGAGCCCCCGAGGGCACGAGCCGCGTCCGCTGGAGGAGCCGCCCTCTGGGCTTCGGGGGACCCCGCGCCCGCAAGAACGGATGCGGGGACCGAGCGATGGGGCGGCGGTGGCGCGGGGCAGTGCAACTCGTTCGCCCCCGCCTCCTCCTCCTCCACCTCCTCCTCCTCCGCCTCCTCCTCCTCCTCCTCCGCCTCCTCCGCCTCCTCCGCCTCCTCCGCCTCCTCATCCTCCTCCTCCTCCTCCTCCTCCTCCTCCGCCTCCTCCTCCTCCGCTCTCCTTCCCCGTGGGTTCTGGGGTGGCCCGGAGCCCCGAGGGCACGAGGGCCGCCGCCACGGGAAGCGGCTCGTGCCCTGTAGGGGGCCCTCTGCGCCCGCCAGGAGCCCTCCAGGAGGCCTCCAGGAGTGTTCCAAACATCCCCCAGGAAGCCTTCAGCAGTCAAGAGAGATCCTCCAGGCATCCTCCAAGAATCCTCCAGGAATCTTCCAAAAGTCGTCAAACAAATCCAGGAACCCGCAGGAATCTTCCAAAAATCTTCCGGGAATCCTTCAGGAGTCAAAAGAAAACACCCATGGATTCGCAGGGATCCCGAGGAGTCCTTCAGGAACCTGGAGAAATCCTTCAGGAATTTTCAGGAATCTTCAGGAACCCATTGGAATCCTTCCAGAATCCTTCACACATCCTTCAGAAAACTTCGGGGATCCTTCAGGAGCGCCCAGAATCCGCAGGGATCCTCAGCAATCTTCAGACATCTGGGGCCCCCCGAGGAATCCTTCAGAAATCTTTCAGAAACCCTTGAAGTTCGTCCAAGGAACCCCTAAGGAACGTCTGAGGAGCCGGGAAGGAGCCTCTCAGGTGCTTCTAGGGAGCTCTATGGAACCTCTATGGAGGCTCTGAGGAGCTTCTAAGGGCTTGTAAGGGATCCCATGCGGAGCAGCAGCAGCAGCAGCTGCAAATGGTGCCAGTTGGTTGAGATTGGTACCGACATGGTTGGAATCCGTCCTAGTTGGTGGTGTTTTCTCACATTTTCCCCGGGACTCCCTCTTCCCCCGGCGCGGGGAAGGGATCAACGGGACGAGGCTTTCTCTCGTCTCGATTTCGACGTTATGCGATGTTCCTCTGGCTGGGTCGCTGAAGCATGCAGGCCCAGGGGAAAAGAGAGAATGGTGACGGCGACTCGAATGGAAAAACGTCTCACATACGCCGACAGGGTCGGCGGATTTGATTTGTCGCATTGGCGTTCTGCAAGCTGTGTTTGATCGCGGGAGCGTCAGCTCGCACTCTGTCCATGGCGGCGTGGTTCGCAGACACAGTGCGTTGCGGAATTGACAGAAGCCCCCCTCCCAGGTAAGGGGGTTGGTTCATCGACGGGGGCGGCGGATCTGAGAACCACATGGAGGCTACACTTGCTCATTCGATCGTTTGTCCGCAAGATGGTCGTCATCGACGTCGTCGTCGTCGTCGTGGTCGCCCTCGTCATCGTCGTCGTCGTCGTCGTCGTCGTCGTCGTCGTTAGTTACTGTCCTCGTCCATGTCTTCGTCTTCGTTTTCCAACTTTTCGTAGTCGTCGTCGTCGTCGTCGCCGTTGTCGTCGTCCTCGTCTTCCTCGTGTCGTCGCTCAGAGACCCCCCAAACGACGACGACGTCGTCGTTGTCATCGTCGTCCTCGTCCTCGTCCTCCTTGGGAGGCGCCTGGAGTTCGCGGCCTCCGCCGCAGTCACAGCGCGGTGGCGCTCAAGGTCGGCGCGAACCCCCGAGGACGCGCTGGGCGTGCGGGCGGAGGGGTGGAAGGGAGGAGGGGGGCAGGGAGGAGACGGAAGTTACACACGGGGGGTGGGGGGAGGAGGAGGAGGAAGAGGAGGAGGAGGAGGAGGAGGAGGAGGAGGAGGAGGAGAGGAGGAGGAGGAGGAGGAGGAGGAGGAGGAGGACCAGTGTAAACCCAAAAGGCATCAACTCATCAACTAGAGTGTAATACGTCCTCCCCCAAGTTCCCTCTGCATAGGCGCCTACACGGATTCATATTCAATGAGGGAAATGTTCCTTTCGAAGATACCCGTTTGAAAATCCCGAAGTTTGCCAGAAAGCCATTTTCCGGAATTACACGCAGCAGCTCACTGTTACCTTTGGGTTTTGACGATCCGGAATTGTGCCAGAACGCCATTGTTGGGACGTCGGCACAGTGAATCAGCATGATTGCTGCGTCCTGAAAATCCCGACATCGTGCCAAAAAACCATTTCTGGGACATTGGCCATGCTAACCCTTGAAAATCTGGCGAACTCATGAGACGAATGTGCGCGGCGCTAAGGCGAGTGCCACATTTTGACGACAGACCGCATTCCATCCCTGAAGCTCTTGCAGTATCTTAAAGACGACCGTGCGCGGCGCTAAGGCAAGAGCTGCATGGTGAACAAGGAACCGCCTTCCATTTATGACGCTCTTGCAACTTTTTCAGACCAATGTGCGAAGCGCTAGGACGACAGCCACATTTAGAAAACGGGCCGCCGCCCATCCGTGAAATCTATTCCGTTCTGTTCAGCGAATCTGCGAGGCGCGAAGGCGAGAGCTACATTTTGAAAGCCGGACGCCCTCCATCCGCGAAGCTGTTTCAATTTTCAAGCCTCAGGATCATACATTGTGAGGAAGTCTCGGGCGAAACACCCAGCCCGTCCTTTCGACTGGCTTCGGGGTGCAACAGGGAGGAGATGTCTATAAGGAAAGGGAATGGAGGAGGACGATGATGACAAGGAGGAGGAGGAGGACAAGGAGGAGGGACGGGGGTACAGGAAGTGGATGATGACGAGGAGGAGGAGGAGGAGGAGGAGGAGCAGGAGGAGGAAAAGGAACATGTGCAGGAGGAGAATGAGGAGGAGGAGGAGGAGAATGAGGAGCAGAAGAAGGGGGAAGAGTAGGAGTAGGAACCAGTTGCGGTGTGCAACTGCAGGAGGAGGAGGAAGGATGAGGAGGAATAGGGAGGAGGAGGGGGAGGAGGAGGAGGAAGGAGGAGGAGGAGGATTCGAGCCGATTCGATTTACTCTGATTCGTGACGCGCCGCACGCTGCCCCTCCCTGGCGGCCCCCGCTCGGAGCCATGAGGCCAGCGCCGCGCTCGAGACATCCTCACAGCCTGCTCTGAATGATGGGCACATTTTCCACCACCACTACCATATGCAGGACGGGGGAGAAGGGAGGATGAGGAGGTCATCCTCCTCCTTCTCCTCCTCCTCCTCCTCCTTCTCCATCTCCTACCTATGGTAGTGGTGGTGGAACACAGGCCCATCACTGAACGCACTGGAGTCCAAGCCGCCAAGCAGGCAGCCCGCACGAGGCATCCCAACTACCCGGGCGAGAACGGTCACGTGTCCTTGCGCCTGGCGGTTACTCTTTGGGGTACTCACATGCTACGCCCGCTGCATCGCGATGAGCGTGTGGCTGCGAAAAGAAAGAAGCCCAATTGATAGCCGCCGAAGACATCCTGACCACTTGAGCGCGAATGGTCGAGTGATCCCGCCTCTGGAGGCTCCTCCTTGGGGTGCTCAAGTGCCACGCTTGCTACATCGTGATGAGCATGGGGCTTTGAAACTAATGACATGCAATTGACCAATCAGCCATCAGCGACCCTGCCAGACGCTACGGGCCTTCCCCGAGCCAGACATGGTAGGGTAGGTTATCCCGACTCCATGCGCAGGCACTCGGGCCTTCCCCGAGCTAGACGGTGCACAGTTGCAGCTGAAAGCGTCTCCGCCTGCTGCTGGTGCCCTCTCGCACGTGCTGATCCCTGCACGGCCGCTGATGTGTGTCTCGCACGCTCCTCACACATTTGAGCAGCGACAGAGATGCTGCCACTGCCCCTCCTTGCTGCCACCGCCTGCTCTCCACTGCGTGCCCGTGCTTGTCACGCGCACTCTTGAGCCTCCTGCGCACGAGCTGGTTCTATCGCGGGAGCTGCGCTGTAGATGATGGCGTTGGGCTCGCGCCCATCCTCCTCTCCTGCTGCCATTGCCTGACCTTCTCGCACGCCGTGGCATTCTCGCACGGCCTGTCCCCAGCATTGTAGCTGATGATGTCTAACGTGTTTTTGTTTACGAAATCGGGCTACAGCTTCGCCTCCCACTTTTCGCAGAGTAGTGCCGATGCTATCTGCTATTTGCCCTACTCGCATGGCCTGATCCCAGCGCTGTAGCTGAGGACATCAGGTTCTAGCTTCGCCTTGCGCCTCTTGTTGATCAGCGACAGAGCCCGTCGCCACTGCTCACCCTTCTCGCACGCGCTGTATGTTGTGCTGTTGATGACAAGCTCGGGCTCCAGCTGTGCCTCCTCCTTCACGCAGAGTGGTGCAAAACCGCCGTCTGCTGTTCGCCATTCTCGCAGATCGGGCTATAACTTTGCCTTCCACATCTTCGCTGAGTTGCGCCGGTGAAGCTGGCCCCTGTTTGTTGCACCGATGCCAGCGTGGTAGCTGATTGCGCTTGTCTCTGCTGGCCGGTATCGCCTGCAGCTGTCGCACCACTTTCTCTCGCACTGCGATCACAGTTCTGTTTCCGATGA